GCCGTTTGTCTTTGTACCGGTGACAGTCATTAATTTAGTGTTTGTTGAAAATTGTTTTTTTTTTTTTCGATTTTTCTGATTCCATTTATCGTCATAATTTGACGAAAAGTGAAAAGTGTACGAACCCGGGTTTGGGGGGGACGGGGGGAGGGGGAGGGGAGATGGGTGAGGCTCCCACGCGAAAAGGCCGGGGATACTGGTCGTCCCGTTTAAGGGTGGCAATCACGGATTTTGGTCTTATTAACTGTTCAGGAGGAAATGTCACCATTTTTAGCCGTCAAGGTATTTATAGAGTCGAGGTTCTCTCACAGAAATAGTAAAAACCTTTCGTGGTCTAACAGGGCGCAGAGGAATCAAATTTAACTGTAATCGTCGTAAAGGCACCGTTTAATTGTAGCGCAAGGTTCCACACTTTCATACAACCAAGAACGCGCAATTACTATTACTTAATAATTTATACAACTTTTTCCCGTATTCTGATTGCACTAGAAAAGATCAGAGCTATCCATTTTTTTAAGTTAAGCATCTCTGAATAGTCTTGGCTGACCATAAAATAGGCGAGATGGTATTGTTATTTTTAAATTACCTATTTTAAATTCTTACAAGGAATTTAGCATTTACTAGTTCTGACTTCGTATAAATCTTATATACATTGTAGACATTGTAGTCGTTCAAAAATTTATCCGTATCCTATTCACAGATACTTCGAAAACGCCAAGAAGTGGCCGTCATTTTGTTAAGCTAGGCTACCCACTATCTACAACAGAATAGATAGTGAGGAGCGTAGCCAATCAGAGAACGGCATTCGTGATGAACGCTAGTAGATTTATATCAAATTAAAATAGACCAATAGAATATTTGCCGATCTTCGATCGATGAGATGGCCAAGTATTTCAGTGACACACTGAAAAAAAACCTCAAACTGTTTGGGGCATTGATAATCGAGGAACATTTTGGCCAAGTTTGGTAGATCTATGTGCCCTATTAATTCGCTCGAAGGAAGGAAATCCACGCAAAAATAAAGTCTGCATTTTCGGCTCTTAAAGTCTTGCAGTCTTATCACACCTCGTCAAGGAAGTTGTCAACGCGGTCATGCCACCCACCAATAATCAATGTTT